TGGATATTTTAAGCAGAAGTAGTTTTAAAAGACTGACTAATTTAAAGTGGAAAAAAATATTGATATATAACATTTTTAGAGCACTTTTTGGGGCGGGACCATTTTTGGTCCCGAGGACCATGAAAGGGTAGGACTCTTAAGTTTTACAGAGAGTTAAGTACTTATTGCCGTGTGTGTGTGTGTGTGTGTTCACAGAGAAACAGGAGAAGGAGGTGGATATATACGCGAGTCTCTCTGATGAGAAGGCCTTTGTGTTTTCTGTGGCATTGGCTGAGATCAACCGCAAGATCCTGGCGCAGAGACTGATCCTGTGACTCAAACCCAGAGTAACTCAGAAGACGACCAAAGACACGAGACCTCTCTGGAGCTGGCTGTATTTCACTTGGATTACGAGACACGATTCATGAAACTGCAAAGTCTTATCTCGTCGTGGCGAGAAGGATTAGTGTTGGAATATCAGTTATCAACCATGGATCAGAAGACTTCCATGAAATCACAGAGAGGAAGAGCTTATATGTTATCGTATTCAAAATAAACGGACTGTTATGATCTTTACTGGAGTGACCATGAAAGACATTTGCATACGAGATTTAAAACTGTCAGTAATTAGTGCTTTGCACAGTGCTCACCATATTTTATATGTTAGGAACCTTCTGCAGCTTCACATGAGTTTCACAATGCCTACGATGTGGATGGACTAAAACTGCAGCTCAGTGTTCAGCTCTGCTGGAGGAGGGTGGATGTTTCTGAGGCGGAGCACTAATGTTGCTTTTCAAATTTGTCCCACTTTGACCTTCTGTTGTTTCTGATTGCTATTGGTGGCTTTGTCCACAGTGAAGCATGAATCTGATTACTTTATAAAAATGTATTAAAGACAGTCAACACAAACATTTGACATGTAGTCGGGACTCACATGTTTATCTTTTCTAACTTTTGGTTGTAGCTGCTGATCCCATTTCATATGCAGCGCAGTTGCTTATATCTGTGTTTGGTAGAACAGCAAAGATGGTTGTAGAAGGAGAACTTCCAAAATGTTCTTTAAACCTTATTTTGGCTCTAGGTCGAGTGACTTTAGATAATACCTCAACCTAAGTGGTCTAATAAGTGTCCAAAGGCATTTCTTAACATGGATTACAAACAGTTGCTGTGTACATGAGTTACTTTGAGGAAATACTGAAACAAAGCAGTTCGATTGAACTGAATTGGCTGAGGGAGAGCTCTTAAGGTCCAAACGTTTCATTTTGGGAGTGTTGTGTGTACAGTAGGAGAGTAGAAATGAAACTCAGCTTTTATTCAAGGATTAAATAAGAAAATAGAAACAA